GGTGACAACGCTCTAATCTATCCAGTTCTACACTGTTCTGCGTTTACATCCCTACTGTCAGCAGCAGATCACCAGCTGATCATAGCATGAAGGAAACCAACAGCTAAAGAGCTGGCAGCCTGCAGGCATTTACACCTGCTGTGTCCAAAGCTTTTCTCTGAATGCTTCTAACAAACTGTGGTCAAGTGAGTGGACGTCACTAAAAAGCTCTACAAACCTGTTGGCTTTACTCTCTCACTTGCATGTTCTCATTAAATATATCGGGTTTAACAACTACTACGAACACTTTATTGAACTTACGATAGCACTGTTGGTTGTGTCAACTTGATTAATATTACACCAGTTCACCTGTCTCTTATCAGCCCCACTCCATGCATTACATGCATATGAAGATGTGCACTTACATTAAGACTGAGAGCAGTGAAAGAAGAAACTGTCATAACCATAAAGCACAGATCAATAACGATTCTGAGCTAAAATTAACTAGTGCAAGTAGATTTAGGGAAAACAAAAACATGCTTTTTCAGGAAAGGAATCTTTGAGTGCATCCTGACTGCCTCTAAAGAGTTTCTTCCTCACAGTGAGGAATATCGCATAACATTGTTCTGCCCACACAAGCTACCGATCTGATACCTTTTGGTTTTATATCTTAGACAAAGTCAGACTACAAAGTCAGACTGGTGCACCCTTGCCTCTTATCTGTGCACAGGTTTGCCATTTAACTGTCATACGAGGTAATTCTAGCTTTGGGTCATACTGTATGCACTTTGCTACTTCACGATTCATGTTACAGTGAAGCAAAGTATAATATAATAAAAATGACGTTATTTTCCTCATGTGATCGTGCACAGCCCCAAAGCCCTACCTGCCAGCACTGCGTTAACAGCAACGTTAGATTCTTCTATAGCAGTAAACAAAGAGCAGTTTTTGTGAATGTGACATTTTGCTGATTTTACCATTTACACAGTCGGCCTGACACAGTGAGCTGCAGCAGGGGACCCGCTCTCTCAGATAGTGTTCCCGGACCACTCGGAGCTTCCGCCCCACGCAGCTTTTCAAATGCAGCACTCTCTCCGTTTTAATCATCGTCCACACTCACTAATGAGCCACATACAGCTGCCGCTAACTTGCTGTTCAGCCAAGACGCGGGAAGACACGGTTGTAAACATTCACGGCAAAGTTCAGCGAAATACGGAAGGAAAGGCACGACCGCTGACGTCATGACGCCCAAGCAGTACCGCGTCTTGCTGCGTTCAAGTGCTGTCGGACGCTCACTCAGGCCAGTAATGGGAATTCGTCTTTTTGATGACCTCGGTACTGTCTCGGATCAGCGATATAAGAGCCAACACTCATATCAACTCTCAAGGCTCCCAAGCTGCATTACCCTTTATCCAAATGAAGCAACGTTAAAGCCTTTAATTCATCTTCATGTTGGCAGTTAGAGTCAAATCTAATCTGAGCTGTCTGTATGTTTTCATTTGGCAGTTTTACGCCCAGTGCCCTTCCTGACACAACTATACTACAATACTACCGTAAAAGTAATTATAGTAAACCTTACGATGTCCACAAATTTAAACAAAACTACATTAATATCAAAGCATCAAGGAATACTACAGATGTGTATAAAGGCTTCATTTATATTGCACAGTTTCAGTGTTTTAGTGCTAAAACAGTAAATGTTACAATTTTGGTGCTACTTTAATCTCTATGTCATTTAAATGTACTACCAAAGTAAAAGAAAAGTTCTTAAAACATATGAGAGAGACAGAATGTGTATTAAAGATGAACATAGCAGCCGTGACATGGTCATGTCATCCACGAGTCTGTAGAATAGAGTTTGAGGGACTTTTTGTTTGTATGGTTTTATTTTGGTTTTTTTAATTTAACATATGACACATGGTGGATTTCAAATATGAGGACACTGCATGCGTGACTGAGACTGTCAGTCACAATTGCCTGTTTTATACTTAATTAATGGAACTATGATATACAAAAGCATCACTGGCTTCACTTTTCACTATAGTGAGGTTCCAAACTGAAAAAGGGAGCTGAGTGTTTTTGGTCTTGCAGTCTTGGCATTTTGATACCAAACTACAAGCCAAGAGTAAATGCATAGACAGTAAAATACCCAGAATGGGTGCAGCAGCCAACGACTGGCCAGAAACACCAGAGGAGCGAAACACCAGCTCTTGGTAGACAGAGCAGTCACCCAAGAGTAAGACCAGACTAACCATTCTGTTTACTGGATTGCCTGGATGACCACAAGAAAGCCTATGACTCAATGCCCCACACATGAATCCTGGAATGCCTAGAACTGTACAAGATCAGCAGGACCCTAGAGCCTTCATTAGGAACTCAATGGGGATGTGGCAAGCAACAGTAGAGGCTAACTCCAATAGCAAAGTCACCATCAAATGCTGGATTCACCAAGGAAATGCTCTTTCTCCATGGAGAATGGAGCAGTGGTCAGTTCCTCTACATGGATGACACCAAGCTGTATGCCAGGTGTGAACTGGCATAGTCCTGCCGAGTCACCTGAATGGTAATAACAAGATCCAGGATATCAACACCTTTGCCTTGCTGGGATAATAAGCAGGCCAAAGGAGGCGATAGAAGCCACCATGCATGGAGGGTTTAAGATAAGATAAGATAAGATAACCTTTATTAGTCCCACACGTGGGAAATTTGTTTTGTCACAGCAGGAAGTGGACAGTGCAAAAGTTATGAGGCAAAAATTAGAATACAATAAGAATAAATACAGTACACAGCTGTACAGAATAGAATAAAATACTATATACAGTAGAATAAAATAGAATAAAAATATACAATAAGATAAAAATAGAATACAAATGCTATATACAACTGAGTAAAAATACAACGATGCCAGAAAAGATTATTGCACTTAGTATTATTGCATATGTATGGATGTGTGTGTTTGTTCAGTTAAAGTCTTTTTTGGAGTCTGACAGCAGTGGGGAGGAAAGACCTGCGAAATCTCTCCGTCCCACACCGTGGGTGCCGCAGTCTCCCACTGAAGGAGCTGCTCAGTGCTGTCACAGTCTGCTGCATGGGGTGGGAGATCGTTGTCCAACAGGGATGACAGCTTAGCCGCCGTTCTCCTGTCACTCACCACCTCCACTGGGTCCAGAGGGCATCCTAGAACAGAGCTGGCCCTTCGGATCACCTGTTCAGTCTCTTCCTGTCCCCAGCAGAGATGCTGCCGCCCCAGCAGACCACACCATAAAGATAGCTAGAGCCACCAACAGAGTCATAGAAGGTCTTCAGGAGTGGGCCCTCCACTCCAAACGACCTGAGTCTCCGCAGCAGGTACAGCCTGCTCTGCCCTTTCCTGTAGAGGGCGTCTGAGTTATGAGTCCAGTCCAGTCTAGTTGTTCAGATGAACACCAAGGTACCTGTAGCTGTCCACAGCCTCAATGTCCATACCCTGGATGTTCAGTGGTTGCAGTGGAGGAATGCTTGTGCCTGCGGAAGTCTACCACCAGCTCCTTGGTTTTACTGGCGTTGATCTGGAGGTAGTTCAGCTGGCACCAGTCCACAAAGTCTTGAGTCAGTCCTCTGTACTCCTTGTCGTCCCCATCAGTGATGAGGCCGACTATTGCAGAGTCATCAGAGAACTTCTGCAGGAAGCACTGGGTGGAATTGTGGGAGAAGTCTGCAGTGTAGATGGTGAAGCGGCTGTACGCTAAACAAAAGGAAGGCGGCCGGTGATTAGTGAGTGTGAGAACCACGCTCCATATGAGACAACAAACATCCACGAGTACATCAGGAAGATAGTCACAACTCACTGCGTGCTTAGCGAATACCTCAGGCAGCAGAAACCCAAGAAAGAAGAGGAGCAAGACAAGGAACCATCATGGAAGGACAGGCCCCTCCCAGAGACCGACGGACAAACCAACCGAACATAGTAGTGGTGGACAAGCAGAGGAAGATGGTTGTAGTGACCGATGTAGCGATATTTTACTGTTGGTAAGATGCTCCTTTTCTCTGAGTTGTTTCAAGTCAAGTCAAGTATTTATTTATTGTCATTGTCAAAGAACAATGAAATTGCGTTTGGGGCTTCCGTACAACCCGTAAAAAAAAAAAAAAAACCCCTTAAAACCCAAGTGTAAATATTTAACCCAGTGTGACTTCAGTGCAATGAGACAATCCTTAGCAACAACATGAGAACAAGACAGGTAATGTTCATAGGACATTCAGACAAAGACCTGAGAAACATGACAAAATGCAACAATGCAACCCGTTCAATATTATTATACTGTGAGATATGATGGTTGTCTATTTAAGAAAGAGGGGGGGCAGGGGGGGAATCACTGCTAATCACTTCATCCCTTGTCTTCTGCAATGTCTCCACAGGTCAGAGTGGCTGCAGACGCTGGGGGGCAACAGAAGCACCAGACCATGTGTGTTCAAGGTGTAGGCAGTCAGCATGTGTTTTCTGGGATTACTGGGTAATAGAAGTGGGACACCCTCAAGTGGTCTGGCAGAGACTACTGTACCAGTAATAGGCCAGGCATTGGCTTTCCACCAGACCCTGGGCCACCAAAACGTGGTTTGACCTGAGGCATTGCTGGAAGCAAAGTGGGTAGAGGTCAGGTATATTTTTTACTTTACTTTTCTTTACTTTTTGAAGTAATGACCCTGACACTGATCACAACAAAGAAGGGAAATACCTTAAACTTCTATTTGTAACGAGGTGTTTTCATGCTGTTTTATTGCTACTTTTGCTAGAAACACTTGTTATTATCAGCTAATAGTAAATATTTAGATAACTATAGACGTTATAATACTTTTGACAGGTTTATAGTCTTCCTGGAGTGCAGGAAGATGCAGGAGGCTGTTGCAGCTCAAAAGGAATATTTGAAGTTGATCCAATGTGTGTTGTTAAACAGCGGAGGAAGTTGTTGTTAAGCAATGCAAAGTAGCAGGCGAAGTGGGGCACTCCTCTCGCTGCCGCTGCTGCTCTTTGGCTGTGCTGTGAAGAGGAGCTGCAGCAGAGCACCAGCACAGATTCTGCGCTCAAGTTGAGAAGTGCTCCGACACAGATGCTGAGGACTTAACTCGAGTTCATGGACCGGCATCGTTTGAAAAAGTCGGTTTTAAAATGACGCATCCCCGCTAAAGGTAAGCACTAAAAATGATTTTATCTTTTTTTTCCTGCACGCACAGCTATTCGTTTAAGGGGGATATCGAAAAATCACTATTTAGCAGGAAGCAGTTTGTAATGATATTTCCTAATATCAATAATCTCCTCTCTCTCTCTCCTTCTCCTCTCTCTCTCTCTCTTCCAATATATATAATAACATATTAATAATATATATATATAAATATATATAATATATATATATATATATATATATATATATATATATATGCTACATGAGCACTTTTGAACCAAATTTTGAACCATATAAGCACAATAAGCTCTTGCTATTTCTTGCGATTTCATGATTTAATAACTGTTGTCTTTCTGGCGATAATATGAGGCTGGCTTCCCCCAAAAGTTAGTTTCATAACTCATTTTTGAGCGGTCCTGCTGTCCCGTCCCTGTACGGTTTGGCCCTGTTTACCGCAAGTTGGCTCTTTGTTAATCTCCCCACTTTTCTGTTCAGTTTACAAGCGCCACGGCTAAACTTCACATCACCTAACAGAAACACAGTCGACTCTTTTACAGGTGGATGTAGTTCACAAATTAAGCAGCTGATTGATCAATTACTAAACCATTGCAGTCAGCTCCTGTTGGTGTTAAAAGGGTGTGACTGTGCACTGAGACGGTCCTCAGCAGTCCGTGTTTCATTAATTGGGATGTTAATTGGGCAACAGAATGATTATTGCTGTTGTTGTACATCCACCGAATCCGCCTGAGGAGTGAAAGCACGCAAAGTTTAACGAGCTTGCAGCGCTAGATGGCGATCTTGAGCAAGACACATAAACCTGGAGGTGTTCCACGAGGCTTTGTGTGCGCGGAGGTTGCGTGTCTTTGAACGTTACATCCACTGGTTGAAAGAAATAGAATATTTGCATTCGGTGACGATGTAAAGTTCAAAGTCAGTAGAGAGAGAGATATATCAATTTAGAGCCTCACAAAGAACATGCAAGTTCTTAAGAGAGACGCTTTTCAATTTCTGTTTTGTGTTCTCCTTTCAAGTTGTTAACATTTATTGCGCAGCTGTAGTGCTATGCAATATGTCACGGTTGGCATTTGTCACAAACATGCCCTTGCAATAATAGTAATGCAGCTTTTGACGACTCCCGGGCTCTTACTTTAATTAAATGAGTTTTACTTTTTAAGATGAGGCTGTGTGGGTGGCATCGACAGTTCAAGACCATAAGTCCTCAGAACCATGTGCAGGTCAGGGCTGCACCACTAGCACTGCTTTGGCAAGATGATAAGGTTGTAAGAAATCCAAAATGCATTTATCTGAGAAAAACAAAGTAAACGAGAGCGATGTCAGGTGGCTGCAGTCTCACTTAGGAATAGACCTCAGTGTCAGGAGCTTGTCAGGCTTGTGAGTTGCATCAGTGTTTGACAGAAAGGAGAGAGCAGTGTGATGTGCAGTCCCAGTTGTCTTCGGGCTAGATAATGTTCTGAAATTTGCGATTTAAGTGATCAATTCACGCAACGCTGAATTTAAAAAGAAATAACAAAAATTTAAGAGAAAAAAAATGAATATAAGAAAAAGTATATGAGCAAAGAGAAAACAGCCTTCTTATTATATCAAACACCTGGAAATCCACATTGCCAAGAGAAAAAGTGCACTTTAAATAAACAATGATAAAAAAAAATCTCATGATTTCTGTTAGATTCAAATAAAACACACAAATGAAAAAAAGCCCCGAGGTCTTGTTTTTCTTTTCATGGAATACATTTTTCCAGTGCAAAGCTTGACAAAATCCATTTATCAAGTTCCCCCTCCCTCAAACAAAAAGAAAATAATTCCTGTTTGTTGCTCATCAAGCAGAAATCTATTCACTTCACTCGAATTCAGTTTCAGTGCCAAATCAACAGCTGCCTGAAGGCGCTTTACATTGTATGATGATATATTTTAACTTGGCAGATGTAACACATTTTTCCACATTAACTAAAACTTGCAGCTATGTAGTAACAGTACATACGGATTTCCTCTGATTTCAGTTTCCAAATTCTGAATATTGACTTGTAAATAATGGAATGTGAAAAAAGGGGGTGGGAATAGAAAAAGTGTAAACTTCATCCCAATCCTCTTCGAGCACGAACCTTGTGTAGATATAGATATTTTCATATTATCTATCTATCTATCTATCTATCTATCTATCTATCTATCTATCTATCTATCTATCTATCTATCTATCTATCTATCTATCTATCTATCTATCTATCGCAGTCATCATATAATATGAACTCTGATGTGCTTTTACAAAACATCTAATTTTTTCTGTTTAGATTAAAGATTGTTCAAAATTTCAAATAATGTGATGCACTTTAGTTTGAAGGCTGTTATTGGTTGATTATTTTATAGCTTTTCTCAAATCATAGCAAAACCATGTTCAACAACTGGATCACTATTCTGCTTTTCTGTCTGAGTATAAATACTTTGAAAGAGATGGTTCAAAGCCAAGCCTGTTTTAAGTAGAGCCAAAGCATTACAGTGGTATTTACTGTACTATGAACAAGTATTTCCCCCTTCCTTATCTCTTTTGGCATTTTTTTTTTATATTTGTCATACCTAAATGTTTCACAACATCAAAGAAATGTCGTTACTAAACAAAGATAACCCAAGTAAAAAATAAAGTGCAGATTCTGAATTGTGTTTTAATGTATTAAGGGGAAAAAAAGCTATCCAAACCTACCTGATCTTATGTGTAAATGTATTGGAAGTAAGTTTTGGAGCTCACTTTCACCAGTAACACCCACACCCGATTATTGCCACACCAGCTGAATCAAGAAATCACTTGAAACCTGTCTGACAAAGTGAAGTCGGCTAAAAGGTTGCTAAAAGCATCTCGTGCTACAATCTGAAGAATCGACTAAGAAAGAAAGTCACTGACTATGATGAGAGCCATCATCCAGAAATGTAGAAATCTTGGAGCAGTGGGAACCTTGCCAGGAGTTGCTGGTCTACCATGACTACTCTGTGATAGACAACTCATCCAGGAGATTACAAAAAAACACAACAACAGAAAGATGACTGCTTCGGCTGTATTAATAGGAGTCACTGATTGAGAATCTGTTCTTCAGCTCATACCAAACAACACTTTGACTACTCCACAGGCCGCATCTTAATAGTCCCTCAGCACTGCTGCACTTGTGATTTAGTCCATAAATGGTCAACATAATTCCAGTGTTTAAAGAATAACAGGCTGTTGAGGGTACCGAAGTGTGTCGCCAGTAGAAAATAGTTCCTGTAGGCCAGATACCCTCCCATGCATACAAACCAAATAGTCCGCTGTGCCTTGCAATCACAATCACAGCCATTAAATACCTGAGTTGGTACAGAGTATACAGCAGGAAAATCAGAGGAAGCAGAGTGCTGTTCCTCTGGACAAGTGGAAGATTTTTTTTTCTTGTCCCTAAAATTCAATGATGTGTGTGCATCGTGTTGAAAGTACTGTTTGTCAGTCTACTAGCACATTAAACCAGACTTTCCATTTCCATTCCTATTTTGGCACAAAATGCTTTTTATATTCATGCTCATTTTGAGAAAGGGAGAAAATACATTTACATCATCTAGCACGTCAAGCAATGTTTGAAAAAGATAAACGGTTTGGGCAGGAAGAAAGTTCAAGTTTATGCACAAATGTCAAATTCAAAAGCTAGGCAGTGTTGTCCGTTTCTTTCATGCCAGCAGAAAGCCAGTTTCCTGTTACTTTATTTTGTATACTAACATTATTAGTATGACCAGATAAATCAGCGAGATTATTGGTGGGATGCTGCCATGTCCCTGAATTACTGTTGTGTATTTACTAGGTAATAAATTTGGCAGCAGGAGGCTGTTAAATGCTGACTTTCACCTAAGAGCTGCTGGTGGTTGGCATCTGATGTGATCTCTCCATCTTACTGTGGACAGACCATGATACTGTGCTGCAGCAGCTGATTTTCCAGTTTGCTGACCCCTTTCTCTAGGGAATCCTACATATTCTGTCAGATCAATACATGCAATCAGTGCTGATAAATGGGAGAACGCTAGCTGTTGTTCCTCAAGGACATGTCATATTGGACTTCCAGCTCTTGTGGCCTGAGCTTCTTATGCTGGTTATTAGAAAAAAGATGCAGGAAAATGTAATAGCAAGTAGTGTTATATATGGTATTAGAATAACTGGTTGATTGCTAAAAGGTTTGTGTGTGGGTGTAGGGGGACGCTATGAATTATGGAGAGAATTTGTCTAAGAGTTTGAGCTCTGTTCTCTCAGGATGAGGCAACGGCAAAACATCAGCCATGCAATTCAAATAGCTCATAAGGTGGAGGTAAAAAGGAGAGACCATTAAGGCCAGCAGCCCATCGGCTCTCAGCGTCCTATTCATCGTGCAACAAAGGCCGAGCAAGCAGGAAGAAAAGCAACATGAAACATTTTTAAGTGGTTCTGCCTAGTGGGCACTTTAGAGTGGACAGGAGGGAGGGCGATGAGGCTGGCCATTACAAAGCATCATGAATTCTGTCCTTAGGGCAAATGCACGAGTAACACATTATAGACAAAACAGATGGAGGGCTCCCACGTGAAGGGAGAGAAAGAGAGCAGCGTCGTACGAGTGCAGGACAGGATAGGTCGCTAAGGTTTCAGGGGTTGCTGTGACCTGGCAAATTGACACATGCTTTGAAAAATGGAACCAGTGTGTAGTTTGTGTTAGCTGAGGGCATGCAAAGGCTTTCTTGGAGAGGAGGCTCTTTTCACCAGCTTGTGATGGAAGCCACAATAGATACGGCGCATCCCAAAAGTTTCCACAGTGCTTCACTTGTTCCAAATTTTAGTCGTGTTGCAGCCTCATTTCAAAATGGATTCAATTAATTTTTTTACCTCAAAATTCTACCGTGCAATGACAACGTGAGAAAGGTTTGCTTGAAATTTGTTCTAAAAAATAAAAATAATAGAAACATGTGCAGCCTCTGTCACGACACTCAGGTGCATCCTGTTTCTGCTGATCTTTT